GTCACACTTTCTTCCTAGTCTGTCTTTGTCTGGAAGCTCATCTGAAACCTGTCCACCATGGGTGACCCTGCTGGTATTTAAAATACCGATGGCATAGCTTTCAGAATCATAGCAACTCACAAGCCACCACAGTACGACAAACTGACAGACGAGTGGTGGAGAACACGCTATTAACCCCTGCTGTATTCTTTTTAAGGAGTCATAGTGGCACCATGGGTTAAGCATTGGGCTGCCAACCACAGGTGGGCAGTTTAAACCCACCAGGTGCTCCGCAGGAGAAAGATGAAGCTGTCTGCTCCTGTCAAGATTTACAATCTTGGAACCCTAAGGAGTAGTTGTGCTCTGTCTTATAGAATCACTACAAGCACTGGATTAGGTCAGTTTGAACCATGAGGTCATCAGTTCAAACTTACCAGCCACGCCTCAGACACCTACGCAGGGTGAGCGGACCGTAACAACAACAACCTGAGTTAAAATAACCTGAAGGCAGTGAGTTTGGTTTGATTTTGATTTACTCTTTTGGGCACTTCCTTTTTCTTCCTACATATCTATGATGATCCAGGTAAAGAAAACAACAATAGACCAAATCTATATGTACTCCCCAAGAGGAGAGGTATTCGGAACAGCCAGAAAAAGCTGCGAACTTGGCTGGTTGAAGGGAAGAAGGTGGGTCCTGGGCCACCTTTCTCATAACACAAATAACTTGTGACAGGGCCATATAGGTGGAGGCCATTCCTAGTAAATTTCATTTCAAGACTTTCTTGGGAATTTCCATCTCAGACTTGGCTCTTTGGTTCCAGACTTCAGGAACTTTTGTCTCTGAGGAGTGAGGAATACAGGTAACGCATTTCCCACCTCCAGCCCCAGCTAGCTCCTGTCTCCCAGGGAGGAAGGAAGCCAGGCTATCTCTAGCATCTTCTCAAGTGAAAAGCCTGCAGAGAGGAGAGTTGGCAACCCACTGGTGTCAAATCTGAAATTGGAGATCAAGCCCACACGCTGGCACCTTGCAGTCTCTGCCTGAAAGGTTTTCAAGACTCCTTCTGAGTTAGAAGGGCCCAGTGGTGGAGAAGAAGGACAGGCAACCTGTGAGTGAGGCTCCAAATAAAACGCTCCAAGCTGTGAAGCAGCAGCACTGTACTGCTGTCCCGAATGAACGCCCAACAGCTCTATCTGTCCACGTTGTCAGCATGGGAATCTCAAAACTCATGCCTCAAGACTCACAAGGCAGCACATGCATCCAGCCCCATTGTATACAGGTACAGTTTCTTTATGAAAACACCAGGTTCATTTTACAACCACGCTCAGGAGGCCTGGATTAAAATTCAGCCCAGTCCTTTTACACCCTCCCGAGCTCCAAACCTTCTCTCTGGAAATAAATCTCTGTCCCTCACAGTCCCTAGGCACATTTTCAGGTTTCTTTGCTCTATGGAATAAACAAGTCAATGTGAAGGAATCTGTAAGCATCTGAGTTTCCTCCCAATCCAGGATGGCTCAGAAGCCTGGATAGCCCATGAGAAACCCTAAGACCTGGGAGCCCCCAGGTCTGGAGAAATAGAGACCCAACCTAGGAGTCAAAGAGCTAAAAGGAAAGTTCTGCTCGGCCACCAAGGAGATGGACCATGGCTCTCCCTGGTATCAACTCACCGAACATGCTTCCTTCATAGCCATCCTTCGTTAGTGGACGGAGCTCGTTTTTCCCCATTGCATAACGCTTGTAGCTTTGCCAGGCAAACTGCATCATCTGTAAGAAAAGGCAGAACACAGGGAACTTCAGTGTGACAATCCCCCACAATGTGACCTGGTCACCTGGCTATGCCCTCTGCAATTGGGTTTTAAACCACATGTAAGAGAGAACCTTCATGTTTCAAACTGAGGAAGCCAATGGAGTTTATTCACAGCTGCCACGGGGGTCCTTCTCCTTGGACCACGCCATGTGCCCAAAGTCCACCCCTGGGTTTCCCAGGGAAGCCACAAAACGCACAAAATGAAACAAATTCAATTCTACCCATCCTTCAATGACGAAATGAAAGCCGTCTGTGTGAGGAAGCCTCTTTGTTGTGCTCTGGCCTAAAGTAATCCTCTGAAGTGAAGGGAACACATGACCTCACTTAATCTAACAGAGCTACCTAGTGAGCAGGGTATTGTTAACTGTTTTACAGATAAGGAAACAGGCCGAAGACCTGAAATAACTTGCTTCAGGCCAGTTAGTGAGGAGGCTGGAAACGGAGTCCAGGCCTTCTGGCTCTGAAGTCTTGGAACTGTCCTCAAAACCTGTTCCTATCCCCAAGAGTCACTGCATGATTCCATTTGAAGTCCCCCAACATTTGTCTTGACCTGCCCTGGCCAATAGGTTCCCTAGTACCTTATGTTTCCCTGGCTGTGGATCGTAAGCTCCAGGAGGTCAGGAACTACTACATTTGTCTTGCCTCAGTTTACCCCATGGCACGCAGCACAGTGTTTGGTCCAGTAGGGATCCATGTCACCCAGTGTGTGTGTGTGAGTTCTTACATAGAGGTAGCCAGGTCTGAGCCCCTCAGGAGCACCAGGAACGCAGGCTAACAGGGATGCAGGACGGTGCTTTGCCTCCACCCCCACGCTCTGTTTTGTCTTAATGATGTGACCAGGGACACTTGGACTCTAAGGCAATCTCTGTCCCTCTACCACTAACTTTATAACCTTGGCAAGTGATGAAATGTCTGAGCCCCAACTGCCCCATTTGTGAGGTGGGGAGAATGGGAATTGCTTTGCCACGATGCAAGGATTAAAAGAAAAAAAAAGTCCCTGGAAGGAGCCCAGTTTTCAGCCTGCACAGCAGGTGCTCAACAAATGCTAGTTCTCTTCCCGCTTCAGTCTGCAAAACTCCCATCTGGTCTCCCTCGCCTCATCCACCTATCCCTCCATCTATCCATTCAGATGCTTTCACAAACTGCCGTGTGCATCAGAATCACCTGGAGGACTTGTTAAAGATGGTTGGGTCCCACTCTAGTTTCTGATACAGCAGGTCTGTGATGGGGACCAAGACTTTGCCTTTTTAGTAAGTTTTCATGTGCTACTACTGGTGGGCCACATGTGAGAACCAGGGATCTATCACCTCATCTGCAGAAAAGGGTCTGCACCCTCTTGCTCTTCTCCTACCTCCTGGCCTGCCTCGGCCTCAGTCCCCTTCTCTACGATGGCTCCACCTGCATTCTCCATCTGCTGCTGTTCCCACTGCCAAGGCTTCTAAACAGCCTTTTCCAAGCACATCGGGATGGTAACTACAGCTGTGCTGGGCACTGTTACCTGAGTGCCTGGACTGCCTGGGAGGACAACCGGCAAGTCTATGACCTGGACTCTGCACGGAATGGCAGGACGATCTAGTACACCTCGTCATTTTCATGTGATGAAACTCTGAGATGGAGTGGTCTGGGTGGCACAACCAGCCAGGTTGGAATCAGGGTCTCTCTACTCCTACTCCAGCAGGGCCCGCTCCCATGCCTGGTAGGGCATGTGACTCCTCATGTGACACACATGCAAATGTCATGGTAACGCATGCCAAGCACTTGGCACAGGCTTTGAGTCCTGGTTCCATTCCTCTGTTATTTTCTACTTATCTTGAATTGGCAATAACAGGAAATAATTGCTGGGTATGAGTGCTTAAGGGAGACTGGCCTTCTCCCTTTGTCTCTCGTCTCCGGGGGTTTCCTCCATTGAATCTGTGAGTTGTGGGGAGGTGACTGGGTGGGAGAGGAGGAGGAAGCGGGGTGGGGGGAGAGGAGGGGGGATTCTGTCAGAGTGGGTCTGCACCCTATCCTCAAAACTCCTCCTGCCTAATAGAGTAGTGGGCGTGCAGGTGTAATTAAGAGAATCGTAGATATCTGCATGTTCTCAGAGGCGCTGTCACTGCAGGGACGTGGAGATGTTTGGAGTCTGGCCCGTTCTCACAGTCATCCACATCAACAGAGGGGAACGAAGGTGCAAATAATCCCCACCTCACTTGGAACTGGATTCAGAAGGCAAGTAGAGCTGCCTCTCAATCCCACACATGTGCACATGTCCACAAAGACTCTTGAATGCACATGGGGCACGGGGAGTCAGTGAAGACACTAGAGGAGCAGGGGACCAGGAGAGAGCCCCTGGCAGGCAGTCCTCAGTTCTCTCCCTAGCACCCCCTAAGGTGGGACAAATGGTTTGCACGTGGCTGGTAATGGAAAGACTAGCAGTTCAAACCCATCCAGTGGCAAGTCAGAACAGCAATGGTTATGTCTGGTGTTCTGCTTTCCATAAAGATTACAGCGTAAGAAACCTTATTAGACAGTTCACTGTAACACACAACCCCACCAGGATTCCTGTCCTGTGCCTGGGCTGCATCTGTTGTGAGGGCACTGCTGTGGTCACCACCAGGACACCAACCACACTCCCACCCACCACCCTGCTGCATATAGTCCCATATTGGTCTGTAGTCAAATGTTTGTACTTGTAACTATTTGATCAAGCCTCCTAGCCTCTGCTCTCGTTTGGGGACTACAACATAGTAGGTGTTCACTCAGTATCTGTGGAATGAATGCAAGAACAAATAGGAGAATTGGTTCTGATCTTTAATAGCTTACCATGAGGCAGGGAGACCTGAGACCATGCTAACAGGAGAGGAAGGCCTGCTGAACAAGGGAGGTGCTCCAAAGAGGACAAGCATGAATCTCAAGTTAGCCTCCATGGAGACCTAAGTGTCCCGATGGCACACATGAAGGGGAGGGCTCACAGAAAGGCGACTATTTATACAAACTGGAAGTTGTGATACAGGCCTTGGACGACCCCTGACTTCACATTTAGGCAGCTCTCAGACCTCAAAAGTCCTCTAGGTCACCTCCTTCCCAAAGGAGAATTGTCACAGCAAGCTCCACAATCAAGGATTCAACAGTCTCTCCTCTAACACCTCCTGTGACAGGATGCTCACCACTTCAGCCATTCCAACTGGGGACTTTCACCAAGTTCTTCCTCACTTAATCAAAATCTAGTTTCCCTTATGGGCCATAGGGAAGACAGCTCATCCTGTGTCTACAGACTTTCAGGCATGGGAGCCAACTCTCAAGTCTCCTTTGGCTGCTTCTTCCCCAGCTGAAGAGCCAGCTCTTTGGCACTTTCTCTGTGGTGGAGTTCTGAATGCCCTGCACTCATACACGGTGCCCCTCTGAAACTCCAAAGACCAGGATCTTTGCTTCCCAGGGTGCCTTGACACTTTGTTGTCCATCTGCCATGGTGGGCTACCCTTCCAGTCATGAGCAGAGACCAAAGTGTCAACACTCCCTGGATACATCTGGAACCGGTTCAGGAGGCCTGGACTTACCATTTGTCATGCATCTCAGGGGACTGTGCTTACCCTTCCATGCAAGTGGGGCCTTCCTAGCACCAGGTCCTACCGTTCAACAAGTTACGTGTCTGCTGGCTTTGTATAGCTGTACTCTATGGGAGCATCATCTGTGGTCCCCTCCCAGGTTCTTGAGAGAAATACTAAGGAGCCAGGCTGAGGAAAGAGTCTGGGAAAGAGCACCAGGGGCTTGTCTCCTGGGTCTAGCACTGCTCTCAAATGTCACTCCTCAGCAGACAAGGAAGCTACCACACAATCAGTACAACCCCTGCGTTTCCATTTTTGTCCACAGCAATATTGTGAAAGACAGGGCAAAAATACAAAAACACTCTACCCTAGTACAACGAAAATGGTCCATTTTTCTTTTTAAGGAAAATAAAGGGTTAGACTGGCATGATTTGTTCACAGAAAGCCCATTTTGGCTCCTATGATCATCATTTGTTGCACAAAATGCTTGTAACTCACTAACTAAAAACATACTTGTCCCACTAGGAAGATTGTAATAAAAAAGACATGTTACATTGGTGAGGATGTGGAGAAATATGGAACCCTCACACACTGCTAGTGGGAAGGTAAAAGGGCGTCACCACTTTAAAAACAATTTGGACAGAAAAATGAAATAAGTTCAACATGGAATTACCAAACTCAACTTGAGGGAAAACTCTTCAAAAGCAGTAAGATGATGAATGAAAAGGAAAAGACTAAGGACACATTCTAGACGGAAGGAGATAAAAGAGATACGGCCACAAAAACGCAACATGAATCATGGACTGGACTGGATCCAGAGACGAAATTACTATGTTGTTGTTGAATGCCATGAAGTTGGTTCCAACTCAGAGCAACTCTGTATAGGGTTCCGAAGAGCAGCTAGTGAGTTTGAACCACTGACCTTATGGTTCAAAGCAATTTTGCAGTCCAGCACATTAACCCACAGTGCCACATCAGGACTCCAAAATAACTATGTTGTTGTTGTTATGTGCCGTGGAGTCGGTTCCTACTCATAGCGACCCTGTAAGGGTTTCCAAGGCTGTAAATCTTTACGGGAGCAGAAAGCCTCATCTTTCTCCTGCGGAACAGCTGGTAGTTTCAAACTGCTGACCTTGTGGTTCACAGCCCGATTTGTAACCACTACACTACCAGAGCTATAGCAACAATAAATATTATTTTTGTTGTAGAGAACACTGGAAACAACTGGCAAAATTTGAGTAGTATAGAGGCATCAGATAATAGAACTGTACCAATGTTAATGTCCTGATTTTGATGGTTTTACTGTGTAATGTTGGAACATTTGGAAATACACAATGAAGTATTTAAGGGGAAGAAGGCTCATATTTACATTTTACTCTCAAATGGTTCAGAAAATAGTAATTGTGTGTATATTCGTAGAGAGAGGAGAG